ATATTTATAATTTTTCTGTCTCGTATCTGTTTGTACTACGGACGCAGACCACTCATAGACATAATCTAACGCACTAAGAATTTCGTACTCTAAATTAAATATTGACTTCGGTAGATTTTGTTCCGTTGTACGAACGAACGGTTATTATAACCTGTAAAGGTCATTTAATTTAACTAAACTGAAAGCTTCTCAGCAAAAATAGTCTACAAAAGCAACAATATCGGATTAAACGCGGTAAAAGTTCGATACTTTTGAACCCTCGCTACTCGAACTACATCCTCACTTCATCACAGAAAACTGTATAAGTTACAAATTTCTTTTTACCTTTATTATTGAACTTCCGATAAGTTATAGTACAAAGGACACCTTCAACAGAACAATACTTGTTTCAAGCATAGGTTTCATCAATTTAAAAAGTAATTCAAGGCTGTAACTAGTTGTTGATTTTCTGTGTTTTGAAATCTCTCTCAATCGAGTTCTGCTGTTGGTCTTGGTTTCAGCGAAATCCTCACACTTCTTGGCAAACAAAATTCACACAGGTTGTTGCTTTTCCCCATATTGTTGCAGTAATTTCAATATAGTATCATCTTTTTCTTGTTGTCGAGATGTCAAAGCGAAAAGTCATCCTGATATTCATAAAAACTGAGCCTCAAAACGATTGACGAAAATTGTCGAAACTAAATTGCTTTTCATCTTCGCAAATCGATTTCCCGGATGTGCAGGCGCGTCGTAGTTATGATAAAAGTGGCGGGAATATTCCTGTGCTTTGATTTCGATCTCCTCTGGATTTTTTTTCTTGTGATTACTTCGATGTTTCAACAAATATTTTGGCGCTTTTGGAGTATGGTTTTCCTGTGGTGRCACGGATGCCCGGCAGGAAGGATGGAAGGATGGAAGGCAACGTGCGTACGCGGGAACCCTGTGTCGGCCCATTGAAAATCGACTCGATGGTATACCATCGAGAATTTCAACAATTCTGTGTAGATGCTGTCATTATTCAGTTTGCTAAGGCACATAGGCTGCATCGATTAAACCAAGRAAGGTGGAAGAAAATTGGCTGAGAATATGCCAGAAGCAAATGCAGAAAACTCAAATGGTCTAAAAGCAAGGTAGATTTACTTCTCAATAGCTATTGTTCATTGATCAATCGTCGCCCTTTCCCTCAAGTTCTTTTAGGGGGAATACAGTTATAATTTACAGTACTCAATACAGTGATACTGCACAGCTCGCGTATTCCAAGACTGAACTTAATCAGTTGCTATTGCATTCTAAGTGACTATACAAAATGACTACTATTTTAGGTTATTGTCTTCATCTAAATTACAGTTCAACTGAAATAGTAGCTTTTAAACAGTAAAAAAATTCTTTAAGAAGGGTGACGAGATAAGCAACAATGCACTTTGGTGCGTGATTACCATTGCATGACACAATTCAACCCTAGATATTTCGTGAGCTAAAGAACTTTATGAACCCAAACGTTAACAATGTCTTTCTATAAGAGTTATCTGTCATATATAAAACTGGCGTTTCTATCCGATCTAAATTTTATATTATCGCTCTTTTCTTGTCATATGAAAACGAAGAATTGGAATACCATATCTTTAGCACTCAAAGTTTTGTGACCAAAATGGGAAAATGAGGATTTGAAGGCCTTCCTCCTTATTAAGTATCAATTAATTATATGCTCCTGACGTTATCGCTGTAGTCATTTGTACAGTTTAAACAAGCCTCATTCAAAGTAGAACCAGGGGCGGATCTAGGGGGGGTGAATAGGGTGGCTAGCCACCCCCCCATTTTTCTAAGCTCTTCTTCCTTTTTTTCTCTTATCCCTCAAATATTGAAATATTATTTGATTTCTCCAAAGACTGATTGATTCTACCTACTATTTGCCGAGCATTTATGGAACTCCATCCAAGGAGGATGATGGAACAATCACTTTTGGGGCAGTAAATAGCCTAAATGACATTAGTGGGTGTAATGTATATTCGTGTGTACACGGTAAACTCTCATTGTTCTTGATAAATACTAGTTTTAAACGTGAGAGATTATTTGCTTCAAGTGAGCATTGCGTACTAAATTCCGCTTCAATTTGTTCAATAAAGAGTTACTAAAAAGGCCCACAAAACGCTGCAAATCGCATGTCCGAGAATCTGGATTTCAAAATTTCTCGGGGGGGACGCCCCCCAACGCCCCTAGGGGCTCCCGGCTTCGGCGTTTGGCTTCCATTTTATTACATTATTTTAGCAATTCACCCCCCACTTCAAAGTCCTGGATCCGCGTCTGAGAACTAATGAATCACGTGCACAAAATGGTTAGGTTTTATAATGCTTTATTTCTTTCTAGCTATTTGTTCTTAATGTTGTCGTCACATATGTGGTTAAACTTTGTTTGGGGAAYATTTTCTGTAGAGAGAAAAGATCTTTTTTAACATTTTATTACAATTTATTCAATGATTAGCTAAGTATGCTTTAGCCGTCGTTTGTCATTTTTTATTATATCAATTTCAGAAAATATATTACCTTAACAAAGTCTGCATGTCTTCATACAGGACCTCCGAACACCTTGGTCATATCGACAGTATCTAGCGTACATTGGACACCTGGGATCGCTATCAAAACATCCTATATGCAAATAAAATAAACAAAAATGAATTTTTTAAGCATCATATGATGTAAATTCAAGATTTTGGTTTCTCCGTCATAACTTATAGTTGGTCAATATTGCGCACAGTTTTTGTGTTCGTCATAAACCATTCACAATTCAAGTGAGACGTGATAACTGTCAACCACTTGTGAATGCTACAGGTATAGCATATTTTGTTGTCTGTGCATGCATGCAATGGTACGGTCACGGTTCCWGGGCCCGTTTCGAAAGAAACGAAAAAGAAAGTCCAGATGGAAATACTGATTCAAGAAAACATCACAGACATGACAAGGTACAGTATTGGCGCGAATGTAACATCTATARCATATTTTGATCAGTCATTAATCGCGCAAAAATTCGAACAGAAGTGAGTTGTTGATGCAGAAATGACCGACTTATTCCCTTACCACTGCCGCCGCCTCCACCGCCGCCACCACCTGGAAATTAATAAGGTTATATATTATACTCGGGTATGCAYAACTCTTTATTTATTTATTTAGTTAATCTTTTGTTTGATATTTTCATTCTACTTTTGGCGGAACGAAAAAAATTGCTGAAATTTGTCTTAGTGCATGTCTTTTTAAAACTGCTATTGCAGTTAAATCCCCTTAAAACCGACATATCCAAAGCGATTGATATGACCATGCAATTTGTAAAATCAATGATTTGAGGGCAAATGCACAAAACTATAGCAACATTCCTGATTATCTATGCTTACTAAGGGTATTCTCAATACAAAATGYCTCTATCCTTATCCCTCCTATGATATCACGTAGCAGCACCAAATTGATCTCATTCTTATATATATATATATACCATTTTTGTTACAAAAAATACCTGATTTTTGTGTGTTAATCCATCCAATGAAGTTGCTGATACGTGCAAACACTGTGTAGTGGTCAGTACGGCACATGCTATGTCCCCAGCTGACAACACCACGTAACACCCATCGACCACCTTCGTTACACACGAAAGGTCCTCCACTGTCTCCTTGACAACCACCCTTGCCCTGTCCTCCAGCGCAGATCATGGAGTTCTGTTCAACTGTGCCAAGTCGTCCATTTACGCGTGCGCAATCTGAGTGGGAGCGAACAGGGAGCATGGCTTGTTGAAGGATGTCTGCAGCGTTGCCACCGCCTACTGTTCTTCCCCACCCTGGGCAATAAAGAAATGTCGGGTCGTGAAAAGATAGCAGACTAAATGAAATTGGATGATGTGAGAATTTCATACCGGATATATATATATATATATGTCAGAACCCGTAAGGCCCTAGTCTAAAGTTGAGCATTGTTTCGTCTCTTGGTGCAACTTCACACTGGAGTTATATTTTTACATGACCAAATTATATTTATGTTATCATGTTATGTACCTGTTATATAGCACTGAGCTCCTTCTTTGGCTCTGCTTCCAGAAGAAGGCAAACATACTGTATTCACCTTAGAGCTCATCTTAACGGGCCTTTCAAGCTGAATTAAAGCAATGTCATTCTTTAGATGTCTCATGCTGAATCCCTCATGCTTGAAGAGCTGACGAAGTCGAAATTCTTCYTGGACTTGAGTGTGGCCATTTCGATGGTGTGCACCTGGAAAACAAACGAGTTAAACAGCGTTTTACCAKAAAAGAAGTTATCTTTATCAAAGAAGTTGAATACTCCTCGGGTTTTTTTTAACCCAGATCCTCTTGTGCAAAGACCTCACTAAACACAAAATTGATCACAAAAATATGTTGCTTTTACAATTTTTTTTTTCAAATTTAGAGACTTCAAATCTGTATTTCCAAAATTGATTATGTTCGACCATACTTAGAAGAAAGATACGTACGAAAGATAGAAAGCAAGAAGATTTTTTTTACATCAGGAAATGTTGTTTTCTTAAACATTAATAACCCGAGTATAAATGATATGCAAATGTTACACGCTTYAGCGTTATAATAACCCTCTTTTTTATATAAATCGACAAAATATTTTTTTGGCAGAGTTTTACAAAATAAGACGACATATGTTTCGGCATATATTTCATATACAGACGCAGTGGACCAAAAAATGGCGACTTTCTAGTTCATAATTTGAAACTKTGAAACTTTGAAACTTAAAAATAGATTGTATTTCCATTTTCATGAGTATAAACCTCATTACCTACAACAACGGTGTAGCCACTGGGACTTGGATTACGATCCACACAGTGAGCTGCAGTWACAACCCAGTCAGCGTCGATYAACGATCCACCGCARATGTGTTGRCCATTGACCCGTAGAGAGATCTGCCAGGGCCAGGCGTGAGGGCTGGCATTTTCACCATTCACAACACGTGCACTGTACGGCTTTTGACCGCAACCTATATCAGGAACAGGAGCCAAAATTAATTAAAGTGTTATAATATGGATAACTTTGCGTACATTTTAAATGAAATATAGAAACAAGAAATAAGTAATGTCCTCTCAAATCATTCTGCAAAAGAGACATTTTAGTTTGTATTCCTATGATCCAATAGCTTGAGCTTGTTCAAATGTACAAATGTATTTTCAATTTAAATAGTTCCATGTTCTTAATCCGTTGTGTGAGTGTTTTTAAAATTGTCTGCAAATTAAATTAAAATTGCGAAACTCAGGAAAAGTCTCATGTTCGTTTTATCATCGACTAATTGTGATAAATATTTGTTTTATCTTAACTTTTAGAATTCTCGCGCGCTGATTGGTCGAGAGCCGTTGTCGATCCTAGGAAAGACCGATGAAGTGACGAATCGCTCGCGCACGGAGCCGGCGCGAGCCAGAAACTGTTTTGWTTTGAAAGTTTYACTTTGTTTTCRGCTTTGKTATGGTAAAAAAAAMAAATCGAAATCGCTTTTCTATGGTCTGTACGCTTATCAACAACGAAAATGGCGTCAAATGATCAAAACTCAAGTGGAACCACGAGCRTAGCGATTTGTTAATTTTCTTTGTTTCTATAAGGCAAAGATATGAATATGAGGACCTCGCGGACTATATAATAAACATAATTTAGAAGTAAAGRAAAGGAATAGTGCTTAATTAAAAATTAATGTAAGGCAAGTGTTTGCGAAAGTATTCTCTTCAAGAACTTCAAAGATGAAGTCATTATTTTTATATAAATAACTATCACAACCATTGATATAAGTATGAACGAAGTTTTGAATTGTGCTGAATTTCTACTGAGCATTTTCTTACCTTCGATAAACGATGGCCCAAGAAGACCAATCAGAACTACAACAGCAATCATGTCTGTAAAGGAATAACTGATATGCCTGATATYATCATCTATATACCTTTTTTATAGCAGACAGCKTTGGAACATTTGGACCTGCTGGCCAAATGTCTTTGCGGATCTATACCTGAAACGTGTCAAAATGCCATTTATCATGATATGAGGGTGTGACAATGTTAGTGCACATCGTCAAGATGTGAAAACAAGGCATTTGCACAGCAAAGCAAGCAAATATTGCTACTGTTTTGGTAAAAAGGCGTCGCCCCATGTAAGAGAATCCAGAGAACTAGAGGATTCCGGATTCCAAGCCTTGGGATTCCGGATTCCAAAGAATTTTTGTTTTGGATTTCGGATAATATAAGAATGACGTGATTTTCAGCGTTTTTTTTTTCTGAAAATTTTATATTCAGCGTCAGTAGCCTGTGCAGGGCGCCGGCAACGCAAGGTTACGCGTCAGTAATTTGCACTGTCTCCTGTCTCCTGTCTGTACGCTGACGAACAAACTACGTATATGAAGTACAGTAAAATCCATTATGAAAATCCATGTCGGAAAAAATATTGGGAAGGCTGTAGCCCACCCTGCTCCGCGGTCCATGTTCGTTTTTCTTTTTTTCTGTTGTTTTGAATGAGTGTATTGGATTATATCTTGTRAGAGGTAGGGTCCACTCATCAATTTTGCAACTCCATAGCTTTTCCAATGTACTATGTATATCTTATATACGAGTTTTTGGCCTTTTCAAGTATGTTCTCTTCGTCTCATAACAAAGATTTCCCCCCATATTTCGAGTCCAGACGCTTAAAGATCTATCTTTGTGCTCAGCAGCACCACAGTTCCAACACAGACATCACAGCTGAAAAAGCGAYAGACAGCTAAATAACTATAGGTCTGTTTTGTGTTTTTCCAASCTAGTCAACACGCATATCGTTTTTTATTTTATTTTTTCCTATTTTCAGGCGTTATTTAATCAGTGATTGCAAGACAGTTTTGCAGTTAAAGAAAACTTAGTTTAACAGATAGAAAAGAACAATCTGTCACACATAGAACAGGATTTAATTTTGTTTTTCTCCAACACTGTCTAGAACATCTGCTTTTTTCTATGTTTACCGAAAGAARTTTAACMCTTTATTGCAACAATTTTTGGGGGGATTTTAGCCTGTTTTTGGGACTGATATTTCAAAATATTAAATCTACACCATATAAGGAGTTGTCAATCAAACTATTGTAGATTCACATTCCTATGAGTTTGTTTACATCAGCGACGCCCGGTGAATTTGAGACGGGTCGCTAAATTAGCCAGYGCTCGCTCTCAAAATCGCCCAAAAACCGTTTTTAAGTGATTTTCGAGTCATTTGCTGCGACAGAAGCCACTAGGACTGCATTATAAAGCTCGACTAGGCGGCAGAGACACTCTTATTGAAGAAATCAGAATTGGGAAGCGATTTTTCGAAGACAATGTCGCCAATACGAAGTTAGCTTTGAATTGGCGACGTTAGAGAAAGGTCACGTCCCTAGTCGTTCTGTGGCTGATTTCACAACCTACCAAGGTAAAATTGGCAAGTCTTAACCTCCAAAGGCTGCAATCGGTGTAATATTTTGCCGGTAGGTGCGAGTGGCTTGGCAAGATTATGAAAATAGGCTCGTTGGTTGCTCCCTGGTGAGTTTGAATCACGTTTCCCATGATGCAATTCGAACGCGCAAGTGAGAAATCTGGGTTTGTTGTGCTGGGTCTCGATAAGGGGATCWRTAGAGAYTTTTACAAAACAAAAATTCAAAAATGCATGCTAGGGTGGGYAACTTCAAAAAACGTGGAATTTCGATTTGCACAAAGTCGAAATTTAGCCATTCCTTTTTTTAAAGGGTCTTTTTTCCCAGATATTGCGCTAGATGTTAAATGTTTTCAACTTTAAGATAGAGTTTCATTACTAGCTGTTGTCATGTGGTAGATTTGGTGGCCTTAATTTGCAATCTCGGAAACTTACAATTTTTTAGAAACATAGGTCGCCGGCGATTGATTTTATATGATTGGCAATATTAAGGAAACATTTAGCACTGTCATATTGAAAAACTATCAGAAATAAGTAATTGTGCAGAAATTTTGAAGATRAAAACTAAATACTAATGAAGTTATGGAGGAATGAAAATACAAGGATTTGTATGAAATCCTTTAATGAGGCCTTGGTGGCCTCCTTTTGGTGTTTTTGTGCATCTTCCAACCCTTCAACCCTTCCTAACTTCAAGAGGATTTCATATTTTTCTTTTAAACTTTCAGAGCTTATCTTTAAAGAGCTTTGATATCTATCATCTGAGTGTTTTCTTTTGTCAACATTATGAATTTAACAATAATATGCTAATTAGTGTCGGCCATTGCGAAAGTCGTGTATATTGTCTTTGTTTCAAGAATACTAAATTAAAAGATAWACTCACTGATGGTGGGCACGACTAGGGTTTGTTACGTTCGCCTTATCTACTTTTACACTCCCCAATGCAGTATAGAAAAGATATAAAATATAGATACAAGATGCATTCGTCTCAACGACTGACAATATGATGAACTAACCATTTCCAGGTTAAAAAAAGAAAAAAAATGAAAGTAAGGCAACAACATATCAAGTACGGYCTTGACAGAACCAGTTACCCCCTAGCTCCGATCAAACAAGAAAACTATTTTGCTTATCAGAGTCCAGCTGAAGGATTAAAACTCCGTGCTAGATTTTTGGCGTTAACAATATAATTTACAATCTTTAAAGCAGCAATATTCAGCTAATTCCAGGAAACACAGGTATGCCAACACGTTTTATGGAACTCCTCTACACGGGATCAAAATGACACTGAAAATACTGATTTAAAGTCCGTTCTACTTATCAATGAATGGTTTGCTCCACAAGTTCTCGATCTTGAGATGCAATCATTTTTAGAGTTTAAACAAGCCTCATTCCAAGCATAACTCTAATGAATCAAGTATACAAAATTGTTTTATCATGCTTTATTCATTCCTAGCTAATACTTTATAATGTCGTCGTCACATAGTGGTGATGACACTTTGTTTGAGAAACATTTTCTGTAGAAAGAAAAGATCTTTGTTAACATTTTATTACAATTAATTTAGTCGACAAGCTATTATATATTTCTAAGGCATTCGCATTAATTTTTATATTGATTTATGACTGTTTATTACCTTAACAAAGTTTGCATGTCTTCTTGCAGGACCTCTTAACATTTTGGTTCGATCGACAGTACCTAGCGTACYTTGGACACCTGCGATCGTTATCAAAACATCCTATAAACAAATAGAATAAAACAAAGATGAAACTGTTAAGGCATCATACGTCGTAAATTCAAGATTTTGCTGTTATTGATATACTGAATCTTTTCGTCATAAAATATTAACAGTTCAAAAAACGGGAAAAAGCTAGTGTTGGGTGCTAATCGTCAATCATGGCATCACGGGTGCGCTTAATTKCTTAAGAGCAGCTCGAAGCAAGTCGAAGTAATATATTACAGACACATCTTACATACACTTACACATAGGCGTGCTGCCGGCTAGGCGCTTCTTTTGCATAGCAACGTCGACTGAACGAGGAAAAAAACGAAAAAGACCCGGAAAATAAAATATTATTATTATTATTATTAAAACACTCGAAGCAAGGAAGATAACGAAAGAAACTCAAATCACGTATGGCGTCCCTGACCGAGATCCGAGCAGGGTCCACAAAGATGACAGTCCAGCGATCTCAAAGCTTGACACCCTTGCCTCCCTAAATAGAAGAAAGCGAGGCGTGATGGCTGTCAACACCGTGCGAATGCAACAGGCATAGCATATTTTGTTGTGTATACAATGGTTCCTTGGCCTGAACACAGTGCGGCACGACAACGGATGAAAATGCGGATTCAAGAAAACATCATCGATCGCGACATGGAAAGGTAGAGTATAGGCGCAAATGTAAAACGTCCATTTGCATATTTTAATCTGTGAGGAATCGNTTGGATTTTGTCGCCTTGAGCGGCTAGAGAATGGCTATTTATCGAACACAAACGCTTTTTTAAACGTTTAAGGAGAACAAAGCAAAGAGGTAATAAAACAAAGTCAAATAATTTGCAAAAGATGTTCTTTATTGATCTATAATAACGGAGATAAAGTTGTACCCGACCGAGTTGCACGATCGTACAAAGTTAATGTTTCCTATAGCTCATGATGTGGTCGAGAAAAGACAAAAGCCTAAATAAAATCAAAAAACGAATTACTGAAGAAAATGAGTATTTCATACCAGCCAATACATCAGATGCTTTAAAATCAAAGCTGTTTTGGATCACGGTCACTTCCCACTAGAATAATAGTTTCTTATGTTTATCGAAGTAACAGGTACATTATGATCATGCGGGTGGATGTAGTTTTGAGAAGAACTGTTTAATACAACTGACGTTTATTGTATATACTTAGCTTAAAAATATAATTGATAAGTAGAATGAAATAGAACAAAACACCAACTTGAAGCTATAAAAACTATGTTTATTGGACGTTTCGGCACTTCGGCCTTCTTCAGCAAACTGAGTGTTTTGCAAAAAAAAAATATAAAAATATAATTGTGTACGTTATTATGGATACCTGTTATATAGCACTTAGCTCCTGCTTTGGCTCTGCTTCCAGCAGAAGGCAAACATACTGTATTCACCTTAGTACTAATCTCCACAGGTTTTTGGAGCTGAAGTAAAGCAATGTCATTCCTTAGATGTCTCATGCTGAACCCTTCATGCTTGAAGAGTTTACGAAGTCGATATTCTTGCTGGACTTGAGTGTGGCCAGTTCGAAGGTGTGCACCTGGAAAACAAAGATTATAGGATTAAGGTATAGGAAATCAGTCGAGGCTAGAATCGTACCCTCACCAAACAAAACTGAAAGAGCCAAAAAGTAGATTTTACTGACAAGAGCCTTGAGAATTGTTTCCTATTGTTTTTGAGCATTGAGGCAAAACCTGTATTTCCATAATGATGGATTGATGGTGCTTCAAACTAACCTGCGTTCTGCCGAACAAAAAAAAGGATATGTCGTTGTGTTTGTCTGTGGATCAGCGACGAAGATCTATAAAGATACAGTGGGTCCCCAAAAATGACGAATTTCTCGTTCATAAATCGAAACTTTCAAATTTAAAAATTATAAATTCAGTGAAGAAAATAAAAAATTCAATCTATTTTTGTGGACAGCGAAATATGTATGAAAGAGTTACATACCGAGAACGGAGGCAATCAGCCTACACATCCCGAGAGCCGTAGGCCCGAGGGATTTATAGGCTGAATTGCCGACGTTCGAGGTATGTAACTGGCTTATTTCATACTTGAAGAAGTTTTCCAAGCACTGAATTAATATTTTCATTTTTAAATAGGCAAAGAAGCCGTTTTCATATGAATTAAAACCAAAACCTCGATTAGAAAGGTTACGAAATTTACAGTATTGATAATTCCCAACGGGAATAATTTGCATAACCATTTTTCTCGCTAGTCCCATGAGACCAAGTAACTGGACAATGTTAAATAACTGTTTTATTCCATAACTGACATCGATTAGTCAGTTAGCATAACGTGTTAAGTATAGGATTTTCAAAGCTAAGGTTGTGGGTTCCTCAAATGGGGGCAATATCTAGATATATCCCTGAAACTTCGATACTTGAATACACAATGAGCTGGGGAATAAGCGAGATACAACACTATGAATAACAAAGAAAACTGAATCAAGTATGAAATAATACATGAGTATAAACCTCATTACCTACAACAACGGTGTAGCCACTGGGACTTGGATTGCGTTCCACACAGTGAGCTGCAGTAACAACCCAGTCAGCGTCGATCAACGATCCACCGCAGATGTGACGGCCATTGACTCGGAGAGAGATCTGCCAGGGCCAGGCGTGAGGTCTGGCATTTTCACCATTAACAATACGTGAATTTGAATTCGGCTTTTGACCGCAAGCTATATAAGGAACCGAATCAAAATAGATTAGAGTGTTCTAACTATGGAAAAGCATTTTTGGGAGCGGTCTCATGTATGAAAATGAAGCGAATGTTATCCTGACAAAGCATTTGTAATGGTGCTAGGCTTACTCAATAGAAACACCAAAGGTAGAAGGAACAAGAGAGAGACTTTCGAGGCTTTTTAAATTGCGAGACCGAGACTTTCAAGTTTTCAAATGCGAAACCGAGACTTTCAAGTTTGAAGTTGCGAAAGCCGTTGCGAGACCGAGACCTTTTTAATAGAAATGGACTTCGTATGAGCGATAACAGCACTATTTTCTGCTGTGAGCTAATTTCCCGTCTTACGCGTGGATCTTTATTCGTCATTGAACTTAGTACAAGTGTACAGAACTCAGAGTAAAATATAGGTGTTGTCACATTGTGTAGAATATGTAGAATACAGTGTAGAACAGAATAGTGTGTCGATCTATATCTCTTCTGAGTATAATGTGTAGATTATGCTAAGGATAGGTCTATTKATAAGCCCAAACTTGCTAAACTGCTTATTCTAGATGTCGTCATTCATTATCTGACCATGACAAACTTAAGAAACTTAAGAAACTATTTGTTGACCGGATTAACTCATAAAGCGTCGATGACAAAGTCTCAAATAGTGATTTTTGAACAAACTGAGTAATAAGAATATAATATAGGTCTTATTCAGTAAAAAAGATAGATCTATTCTGACTCAAAGCTCGTAACAAACAAAGCGTAATTGGTGGTGCTTATTTGACATTCCAGATATAAAATGTCCTACTGCTCATGCGTTAATCACTGGTCAAAAACTGGTTTTTAACGAAAGCTGAAATACAAAGTAAGATTTCACATCCTGATCGAATAGCATTCAATTAAGAGTGCTGAACAGAGCTGTTGCACAATGTTAACAGATAACGAACMATTGAAAATAATAATTAAGCTCTTACTGGCAACTTGACGTTGTTATGACAACTAGAATAATTTTAGTTCACTCGAGTCGAAATAAGAGATAACTGTGTATAGGCTCGTTACACATTTAAAGAGACATCTCAATTTGTATTCCTACATCAGATAGCGTAAACTTGCTCACACGCATTTGAAAAAGTTCAGCTAGAAAATTCCCTCAATCTTGAGCCAAAAAAACCCGAAACAGAATTGTTGCTTGGACTAATTAAGGGTTGGCGAGTGGTAAAATGGAGACTTTGCGAGACTAGCGTTTTTCCTTGCGAGACCGAGACTTCTTGGCTTTTTAAATTGCAAGACCGAGAGTTTCGAGTTTTCTCAAATGCRAAACCGAGACTTTCGAGTTTAATGTTGCGAAACCCGCTGCGAGACCAATACTTTTTTTAACAGAAATGGACTTTGTATGAGCGATAACAGCACTATTTTCTGCTGTGAGCTAATTTCCCGTATTACGCAAAATTTTCGTCGAATTTCAAGGGACTCGCAGTCTGTGTGTTTTTTTTTTTTGGAAAATTTTAATGTCTCGGAGTCTCGATTTTTTCGCGAAGCTGTCTCGAAGTCTCGTTTTTTTTTACTACGACTGAAAAGCAACCCAATTATGAACAATCAAGCTCAATTTGCAGATTTCAAGAGCAGTTTGCAAGTGACAGTGAGTTAATCAAAAATATCAAAGTAAAGTCCACGCGTAAATTAATATGGGAAATAAGCTCACAGCAGAAAATAGTGCTATTGTGGCTCATACGAAGTCCATTTCGGTTAAAAAAGTCTCGGTCTCGCAACGGCTTTCGCAACGTGTTTCGCAACTTTAAACTCGAAAGCCTCGGTTTCGCATTTGAGAAAGTCTCGGTCTCGCAAGGAAAAATACTAGTCTCACCGTCTCGATTTTACCATTCGCCACCCCTAAAGAACGTTGTCGTTATGCGCCTTGAACGGTGTTTAGAGGGGAAACAAAGCCAGGATTAAAATGAATCATGCTAAATTCTCTTTATCCCAGCTTTCTCAAAAAATGCAGGTTCGTTTATTCGCGTCTTCAAAGTACAAATAACTCCAGGCTACAACTCTGTTTTGGTTTCTTTTGACTCAAAATTGAGGAATTTTTTTAGCTTTCGTGGTTCACCGGCTCTTTCGGGGCTTATAGCACTCGACTCGCAAAAACTTTCTTCGTGGTCAAACCAGTTACCGTGGTCTTAGTTACACACTCCAAACCCTTCGGGACCCTACACTTACGTATGCATGCTACACAGCTTTAGCTTATTTCAATTTTCTTTATCTTGTGAAAGTGTTTAATTATCTATAAATTAAATCAAATATGCGAAACTCGATCCCGGGCAGTCTCATGTTCGTTTTATTATCGCCCATTTGTTGAATTACCGGGAAAATAAAAATAAATACAAACTATTTGTTTGAAAATCTGTTTTCATGTTTGCGCAAATCACACCAAACAGCTAAATTCTCTCCAGGCAATGTTAAGAATGCGTTTGAGCACTCCTTCATTAAAAACTTCAATGATGAAGTCGTTCTTTCTATATGGATAATTATCATATCCATTYCAAACTGTAATTTGTTCGAACTTACAATACGAACGAAGTTTTTAATTGTGCTAACTTTCTACTGAACATTTTTTTACCTTCTATTATTGCAGCGTTTCATTACTCATGTTTTTATTCGATTGTACACAAACACGGTTGCTAGAAATAAATTACAAACAAATCAGACTATGTTCAAAATTACAAGATAACGAAAAAAGTATAATACTTACAAAACGCTGTTTACTGGTCGGACGATGAACGATGTGACAATAATATATACGGTTACAAGCGAATATATACACAACGAAGAAATAACAAAGGAACAGAATATAAATTAGGTTAGAACTCAATCTAGCGTGAACGGCGCTAACATGGCTCCCCTAAGAGGAACTCTTATCATGTCAAAATAAATGAATTAATTCAGTTTATCAAGTAGTGTTTATACGTAAATAATGTTCAACATAAATATTCTCCTTATTTTGGCTCCTTGTCGGGGATCGAATCCTGTTCTCCCGTCAGTAGAAGCACAAGTTTGTCGATTGGTCGGTCATACGTTGATGAAGAAGTCTTGATTGTAACAGCTCTCACCAATCCCTTGTCGTCGGTCATCACCTTGACCACTCGTGCCAGTTTCCAATGGTTTCTGGGTGCTTGATCATTTACCACAAGAACTATATCTCCAAGTGC